GTCCAGAGAGTTGCTGTAGGTTTTCCCCGGATGCCCATATGGTAGTGTCATCAGCAAATAAGACCACTTTCACTAAATTCGAAACCTTGCATATATCGTTAATGTATAATATGAATAATTTAGGTCCCAAAACTGAACCTTGAGGCACTCCACATACAATGTCCAGATCACTGCAAGGATAGAGTTCCTTATAGGTGTTTTTTTTTTTTTTTTCTTGCAGAGATTTATACAGTATCTGGCTTCACGGAACACATTATTCAACCTCAGCAATTTTTTGGACAAGAGTGGCCTACAAGGTATATTGCCAACACTGAACACATTATGCAACACTGTATTTTTACATTCACAGCTGATATTCATCGACACCATGACATATCACGTCTTTATTTGTAATGTAGGCTATGATATGTCAACTTTTATAAGAAGATATAGCCGCTACCTGAATGAGAAGGCAGTGTCCTACAGACAAGTCGCTTTTGACTTTACTAAAGTGAAGAGAGGGTAAGGAGTTTTTATTTTCAATCACACAGCTTGTTATTTTTGCAAAGCTTTATGTTCTACTTGGTCATGTTTGACACCCCAGGCAAGGGGACAGGCAGGGCTTAATGATGCAGCAAAAACAGTGTGTTAGTTTTACTTCCTGCCAAATACACTTTGACACTTTTCTTAAAGGTTGCATAAGCCCTTGTGCAGCTGAAGGATAAAAAAAAAAAAAAAAAGTTCTTGTTTGTGAGTCACATTGGCATTTGACAGCCAAATTCTCTAACCATGATATTGTGAAGCACTACAATGCAAGGGCAGATGTATTAATTGATTTGTTTTTGTGTTGATTCATGAACTCATGAAAATCATAAATGGCCATTTCTATTATCACTACACTGTCCTCTAGTGATAATCAAGACTAGAGGGTCAAATTCCACCAGTGTCAGTAGGCTCAATGGCATCTCAGAAGGGTATTGGATTAGAGTTGGTAAATTAGTTTGACTTGTTTTCTTTTCATTCCACAGTTCTGATGGAGTGATGAGAACCATGAACACAGAGAAACTCCTCAAGACCATCCCTATCATCCAAAATCAGATGGATGTGTTACTTGATTTCAATGTGAATGCTCAGTATTTGTCTGTTTGGCATTTAAATCCATTGCTGACCCTTGTCAATATGCATTCTCGTGACTCACTGGGTTTTCAAAATGGTTCTCTGACTTGCTTAAATAAGATTGTTCTCAACACTTCCACCTCTCTTCCAGGTCAATGCCAATGAACTGACAAATGGTGTAATTAACGCAGCCTTCATGCTTCTGTTCAAAGATGCAATCCGACTGTTTGCAGCCTACAATGAGGGAATAATCAACCTCCTGGGTAAAAACAAGCTGTTGTGTTATCATAGCATTGCTGATTCATTGTTTGGACTGTAAACTTTTCCTTACTGTCCTGTGCATTCCAGATTAAAAGAGACAATGACCTGGGGTGAAAGACTGAATTACTGCAGATGCCCTTGTAATTATTTACCACTTAGAAAATAGAATTAATAGGCTTATTAGTAGGCCTGCAAAACTGACAACTTTCCTGTAGCTGCCAATAACAAGTCTTTTTCAAAGAAAGTGTTTAGTGGGCTGTCACAAACTATTGGCAGACCTCGTGAATTCTTTTCTGACTCTACTCTAAAATGTATATGTGGCAGGGTTTGTTATATCCTGTTTTAGAACTGCTCTTTTACAGACTACATACCTTGGTTTTGCCTTATTGTTATTCTTATTTGAACAGAGAAATACTTTGACATGAAGAAAGTCCAGTGCAAAGAAGGACTAGACATCTACAAGAAATTCCTTACACGAATGACAAGAATCTCAGAGTTCCTTAAAGTTGCAGAGGTAAGTCACAACCCCAGATCAGCATATCATAGATTGCAAATGGCTGGAATCATTTTGAAGGGGTTTATTATGTTTTATTTTTTCCCTCATTCAAATTCTAATAGTCCTTGTTCTCTTCCTGCAGCAAGTGGGTATTGATCGAGGGGACATCCCAGATCTGTCTCAGGTAAGCCAAAATGCCAAGTCTAAAAATAGCCATTTGGCTTTTTACGGTTACTTTAAATAATATACCTTAACTTGATACCCCCATTTGTTTGCTGGCTTGCTTAGAGGTGCATTAAGATTTAACAGATTGTCTGACAGATCAATTGAAAATGGGACAGGATGTGGTCCCTCTCTGTTATTCTACGAACTCTTTGTCATTTTGGTGCCTATAGCTCTTCTGTGGTAATTCAAGCATCTCTACCCTCTGTTTTCAAGAATGGGTTTGTAAATTAGCCCCACCTGCCACCAAAACAAAGGTCATAAGAAGCATTTTTCAAACCACGAGTAGTCCTTTCAAACAGCCAGCAACAAAGTAGCTCTCGGCAGCTAAAAGTCCAAAACGGTAAATCAAACCACGAGTAGTCATTTCAAACAGCCAGCAACAAAGTAGCTCTCGGCAGCTAAAAGTCCAAAACGGTAAATCAAAGAGGCGGCATTCTTTTGCACAGAGAGTAGGACAATGAAGGGTAAAAGCCAGGGTTAACACTGCTTTGGCATCTGTAGTTTCATCGTCAATAGGAAACAAGACGTGATGGGAGGGACAGAGAACTCTTAGGAACGGCTCATGGTATGACTGTGGTCAGAAGCCAAAATTGTCAGACAAATTCAAGTAACAGAGTCTTGGTGGTTTGTTTTCTTAGCTGTAATTGGTTTAGTGACCTCCTTAATATCAGCTTCCAAAATTTGGCTGTTATTGTCCTTTTATAAGATACTAACCCCCTTCAGCATCAGGCCTGTCAAGTTTTAACACTAGGTGCTGTGCACAGCTGGCAAGCAATGCATGTGCCCACTGCTGCATTTAGAAACGCATTCCAACTCGCACTCACTTCTGACCTTGGGCGTCATACAGCAAATAAAGGTGTGAACCAAGGGTTTCAGTGTGGGATATAATAGATCCATCTCATATAGACCAGTGACCTGCTGAAATTGTGTATTTTGTGGAAACACTGTATATCCTACTGGATGCTCTGTTGTTAATTATGTATTTAGTATAACTTTGTAACTGTAGTAGATAAACCACAGTTAGACAATGTAGCTTACTCCCCAAATGTTTTCCTAATATCTTGACTGTTACCACCTTTATTTTCTGTATTCTTCCTTCCTTCTATCTCTCCCTTTTCAGTTTACAGTTTGTGTAAGTATCTGGACCTTTTCTCTCTGTCTCTGTATTTGAAAGTCGCTCTGTTTGTGGACTCTTGGCATGCTTCAGTGTTTTGTTTGTCTTCTGAAGGCATCTTGTATTCAGTTCTTCTCTGTCTTTGAAACTTACTTATGTGTCAATGACATTCATGCTAGGCCCCCAGCAGCCTGCTGGATGCCCTTGAACAGCACCTAGCCTCTTTAGAGGGAAAGAAAGTTAAAGACTCAACAGCTGCCAGCAGGTAGGTCTGCATTATCTCTGTTCACTTGATCGGGTTCCTTGCCATCCAGTCTCAGGGTTATGTTTGTTTTCACCATATTTGATCGACAGATTTGAGGGGTATTTTTCAGCAAATGCACTTTTTTTCTCACAGTGCAAGTATTTGTCTACTGTATATGTCAAATTCAGAACACAGTAGAAACAAGTCAACTTTGACAATAGAGAGAAGTAAAGCAACTGGACCAAAGTCCAGTTGTAAAAATGTTTTGATAGCCCTGGACAATTTATGGTTAGTCAGTGTTTTCTGTGTCTGTCCCTTGATTCAGGGCTAGCACCCTCTCCAGTGCTGTGTCCTCCCTGGCCAACACCGGCATATCTTTTACCAAAGTGGACGAGAGGGAAAAACAGGCAGCCCTGGAGGAAGAGCAGGCTCGCCTGAAAGCATTAAAAGTACATTTTTCTCACTCACATTAGTTTCAACTTAGTGCACTTCAAGCTAAAGCAGCAAAGTCCAGTAACACATACACCTTAACTCTTAAATACATTTTTGTGCTGTAGTTTGAAGTGTGGGAGAAATTGGCTTTGAGGAAGTCTGCAGAGAAAGTCTTTTTAGTTTCCCCCTATTGCCAATAGTGTAATACTGTTGCCTCCTAATTAGGTTTTGCATGCATGTTTGTGCATTCAGAAATGGTTTAGTAGAATGTCCATTCCTCCAAGGTCTGCACATGCGTTACATTTCAGTTGGCAGGTCCTATGTTCATAACGTTAAAAAGAAAATTAAAAAATAAAATCTAAAAAAAAGGAAAAGGTCCCTGAATATGTTCTGTCACTAAAGATTTATAAAAATATTACAGCTGCTGTCTAAAGATCAGTGACTTGATGCATCATTCACATTTTTAAAGGAAACACAACATGTTTATTTATTTGTTGTTTCATTGTGCACGTGGCTCTACAGGCAACATGTATACCAGTATATAAACAACATTCTTAAGGCCTTAAAAGATTTTTGAGTACTATCATGCTGAGCTATTAGATGCAGAGGTTGTCCTGCATGTTGCTAACAGTAACTAACTCCTAATTATTATAGGAGCAGCGTCTGAAAGAGCTCCAGAAGAATACAGTGACCACAGACTCCTCCCCTGTCTCCACAGTGAGCAGTACCATAAACTCAGCCCCTGCCATTGACCTCTTCTCCACCCCCAGCTCCACCAACAGGTGAGACCACAGGATCTGCACCTGCTCACTCATCTTAAAGATACTATCATTCAATTTCAGGGTTTCTTCAAATGTCTTGAAAGGCACTAGTGATTTTACATGTGGGGACAGACAAACATACATTTAGATCAGACAATTTAGCAATTGTTTGGTGCATAAAATCTTAGCCCTGACATTCTTCTGTAGGTGTTTCAAAACTGAAGACTTAAGGTGAAACGAGATCATTGTTTTATTAATTAAACAAGGACAAAAGTCTATAAATTGTTTTTTGTCAGTTAATGTGATTGGAATGATCATTTTATTGTTAATGTGACTTAGTTCAACTCAGTTTTATTTGTATAGCGCCAAATCACAACAAAAGTCATCCCAGGACACTTTAGAAAGTAAGGTCTAGGCCTTACTGTTATTATTTTTATAGAGGAAAACCCAACCCTTGAGCAGCACTTGGCAACACTGCGGGGGAAAGTTCCCTTTAATGGAAGAAACCTCCAACAGACTGGCTCTTGGTGGGTGGCCTTCTAACAAAACAAACAATCAAGCACTTGGGCAGGTTGATGTAGGTTGATGTGACTGCTCATCGGAGATGTAGAGCTCCAGAGCTAGGGCAACCTGGAGAAAGGTACAGGGAGAGAGGAGACACACAGTTAGTGATGGGTAATGGTGGAAAATAGATGGATGGGGAGAGAGGAGCTCATAGCATCATGGGGTGGTCCCCAGCAGTCTAGGACTATAGCACCATAACTGAGGAAAGGCTGGGGGTCACCTTATCCAGCCCTAACTATAAGCTTTAGCAAAAAGGAAAGTCTTAAGTCTAATCTTAAAGGTAGAGAGGGTGTCTGCCTCCCGAACTGAGACTGGGAGATGGTTCCACAGGAGAGGAGCTTGATAGCTAAAGGCCATAGCCTCCCATTCTACTTCTGTGAACTCTAGGAACCACAAGTAGACCTGCACTCTGAGAGCGAAGTGCTGTGTTAGGATGATAAGGCTCTACGAGGTCTTTAAGATACGATGGAGCCTTGTCATTAAAGTCCCCATGGCATGCTTGTTTCCAGACATTTAATCTTGGGTACCTCTAGATTATCTTTGCACCCCTCATAACTCCAAATAGTCTATAATTTTTTCAGAATACTAAAACCAAAAAGCATCTTCCCTAAAATGAGAGGATAGTTTGTGAACATGCGTGACTCCTGATTCCGATGTTGTCGCAAGTGGACAGCACAACAAACCGCGACAGCATTAATTAATTAATTTGAATTTCTCCACCATAGATAGTTAAACAACGGTATATGTACCAATGAAAAGAGATGTGTAATGTCGTGGCAAAAATCAATTCACAGGGAGAATCACTGCAGTGCCAATCATCATTTATTGAACAATATTGTATGATAATGATTGAGAGGGCAAGAAACAGGATCACCTGTCAGGTTTGGGGTCTCTGCAAAGAAAGTCAGGCTGCAAGTCAGCAGGTAGAGTCTTCTCCTCCAGTCCTCACACACACACCCTGATTAGCTCTGCAGCTAACTATATGGCCATTTCCCAACTTCCTACAATTGTCCAGATCTTGACGTCCAACGGGCCCCCACCCTGGTTATACTTCTCTATTTTGGGAACCCCCTGCACCCTGTACTGAAAAACAGGAAGTCTGACGCCCAATGTTCCCGCAGAGACCCGTACAAGGAGCAGAAAGTTCACTCTGACCACTCTGACCATTCTACATGTTGTGCACTAACTAATATTACCTCATAGCTAAGTTGGTAACTATTAACTATACTCTGAGCCTATTCTGACTATATTCAGTTTGCTTTTACCACTACAGTAACACTCTAAACAAAGTGGGTAACTGAGAAAACCCCATATTTTAACTGTCATAATGCAGACATAGTAACTTCTCCAGCCTTACAACAATTCTCTCTAACATTACAGAAACAACACATTAACAGACATGCAACATGTTTTTTAAACTTAGCATTAAGTCCCACTGAGTAGTGGAAACATCGCTCTATTTCAAGTATCTCCAAGGTCGGTAAATCCACACGGTGATCGCTGCGTCTTCCCCCACACGACCACATACAGTCCCAAAGTAGTGAAATTAATTCCAACAGGTAGCATAGCAACATCATGGATAATTAATCCACTGGTTAACCAGCAACATATCACATGCAGCAGACACACTGGCCTGAAGCAGTCAGAATAAACAGGCACTGTGCTCTGGGGGAATCCAGTGTTGATCAGCTGATCGGTGGATTTCAGGTATGCTGGCATGAACATGCAACAGCCTGGATTTTATGCCCATTCAAGGAGATCCTTAAACTATCATGTAATACTTTATTTTGGTAGAGTTTGCGAGATGTGTATAAACCAAGTTACTTCTTTTTGATCTTTAGGTCATGTCTAAGATAAGTCGCCGTTGTAACATTGTAGATGAGTCGGAAAACAAGGCTCTGTGTAGAAAGGGTGAGCCGGTAGTCCGGGACCAGTGTTTTGGTGATGTAATATGTGCATGACACTATCACCGGTGTCTCAAGTCTGGATTGCAGTCTCCACTCGAATTGATCCCAAAGGTGTTTTATCGGGTTGAGGTCCGGATTCTGTGCAGGCCAGTCAAGTTCTTACACACCAAACTCACTCATATTCATTTCTTTATGGACCTTGCTTTGTGCACTGGTGCACAGTCATGTTGAAACAGGAACGGGCCATCTCCAAACTGTTCCCACAAAGTTGGGAGCATGAAATTGTCCATAATGTCTTGGTATGCTGAGGCATTAAGAGTTCCTTTCACTGGAACTAAGGGGCCAAGCCCAGCTCCTGAAAAACAACCCCACATCATAATCCCCCCTCCACCAAACTTTACACTTGGCACAGTGCAGTCAGACAAGTACCGTTCTCCTGGCAACTGCCAAACCCAGACTCGTCCATCGGATTGCTAGACAGAGAAGCTTGATTCGTCACTCCTGAGAACATGTCTCTACTGCTCGAGTCCAGTGGCGGCTTTACACCACTGCATCCGACGCTTTGCATGGCACTTGGTGGTGTAAGGCTTGGATGCAGCCGCTTGACCATGGAACCCCATTCCATGGAGCTCTCTACACACTGTTCTTGAGCTAATCTGAAGGCCACATGAAGTTTGGTGTTCTGTAGCTATTGATTCTGCAGAAAGTTGGCGACCTCTGTGCACTATGTGTCTCAGCATCCACTGACCCCTCTTCTTCTTCTACTTTCGGCTGTACCCGTTAGGGGTCGCCACAGCGAATCATCTCTTTCCACCTAACTCTATCCTTGGCATCCTCTACTCTCACACCAATTAACTTCATGTCCTCTTTTAGCACATCCATATATCTCCTCTTTGGCCTTCCTCTCCGTTTCCGACCTGGGCTGGATGGCTTTCCTCTTGACCTCTTGCCTGGCAGCTCCATCTCCAACATCCTTCTACCAATATAACCACTATCTCTCCTCTGCACATGCCCAAACCATCTCAATCTGGCCTCTCTGACCTTGTCCCCAAAACAGCCGACCTCAGCTGTCCCACTGATGTGCTCATCCCTAATCCTGTCCATCCTGGTCACTCCTAAAGAGAACCTCAACATCCTCATCTCTGCTACCTCCATCTCTGCCTCTTGTCTTTTCCTTACTGCTACAGTCTCTAACCCATATAGCATAGCTGGTCTCACTACTGTCTTGTACACCTTTCCTTTGATTCTTGCTGCCACTCTTCTGTCACACAACACTCCTGCCACCTCCCTCTCGTTCATACACATGTATTCTGTCTTACCACGACTGACTTTCATTCCTCTTCTTTCCAGGGCAGACCTCCACCTTTCCAGTTGTTCCTCCACCTGCTCTCTGCTCTCACTACAGATCACAATGTCATCCGCAAACATCATTGTCCACGGAGATTCCTGTCTGACCTCATCTGTCAACCTGTCCATCACCATAGCAAACAAGAAGGGACTTAAAGCCGATCCTTGATGTAGCCCCACCTCCACCTTGAACCCCTCTGTTTGACCTACAACACATCTCACTACTGTCGTACTCCTCTCATACATATCCTGAATCTGAATTCACAGGCTGGCTCGCAGTTATAACGCCCTTAGCTTTATCTGTATGAATAGCACAACGGTGAGAAATTGGTGATCCTTTGGAACGGCAGTAGTGTGGGATCTCAGTGTAAAAACGGCTCTTGAGACAAGATGTTCCTGATTTTGGCAATATTGCGCAGGTGAAAGAAGGCAGTTCTAGAGATTTGGTTTATGTGTGATTTAAATGACATATCCCAGCCAAAAATGACTCCAAGGTTCCTCATAGCAGTACTAGAGGCCATGGCCATGTTATCTAGAGTAATAGCATATTTCTAAGATTTGCAGGCCCAAGTACATTAACTTCAGTTTTGTCAGTTTAAAAGTAAGAAATTACAGGTCATCCAGGCCTTTTTTTTTAAGACATGTCTGTTTGACATGCTTGAGGCTGTGCTTTTTCTCTACTTATAACAATCTTAGAACTCATTTGAGAACCTAATATTTTGTTAGCAAGAGACTGATTGATCCTCTTTACACTTATTTTCCTCCAGCACCTCCAAGGCAGCCAACGACCTGCTGGATCTGCAGCCAGCTTTTCAGCAGCCACTGCCTCTCGCCACCACAAACACATGGGGAGGTGAGAGCTCCTTTTTTCTTGGCAACACTTCAGTGCACACCACTTCCACATTTACAGATATATACTTGTCAAATACTTATTAGCGCACCCACATCTCCCTAGTAGGATTCCTTAGTGTATATACCTTTTGTAACAAGAAGGAATTGAGGTTTACAGTATGATTTTTTTTTTTTTGTTAAATTAAATATTATGCAGTATATACAAATAAAAGAAAAATAAATAAGAGCAGAATACCTATCACACAGTGGCTTAAAGTATTTTGATCCCTTCAGTTTTTGCACAAGTTGTTTTAGATTTGATTTTAAACAGATGGGATTTTGAATATTTCCCATTAGTCTTTACTCACTAACCCATAATGACAAAGTGAAAACATGTTATTAAAAATCAGAAACTGCATGCAGTTACATTGCCAAAACACTAGTTGGCAGTGGCACCTCTATGCCAATTACTAACAATGGTGATTGAAACTGAGCTGGTCATGTTGGAATTATACTAATATATGATGAACAGCAGTTTCTACATACTTACGTACGCATGCACTGCGTGGAGTGGCAGCAAGTTACAGCAGCTGTGTCCTCATTGTGTTCTTTCCCGTGTTTCTATGAAGTTCTGTTCTTATGTGTCTGTTCTTATGGTGTTATGTTGATTGTTCTCTATTGCTGCTGTAACACAGAAATTTCTCCACTGTGGGATCAATAAAGTACCTACCTACCTAACACAGATAAGAGAGAAGACGTTTGAGGAGATTCGTCTGTACTACCATTGAACCATCTGTGGCAGAAAAAAGGGGGGTTTTCTCTGATTGTCCTGCCACTGAGACACATGAACAAGGAAATGCAATGCTACCAGTCACAGTTGTTGCAGTCTGCATTGCCACAACATGTAGTTACATTTCTGGAGAGGTGTCAGGCTACAGCATATGGTACAAGACTACACATTACCTGCACCATACCTATGGTATAGATTCAATGCAGAACCATAAATCAAGCTTAAGTCTCTGAAAGCTTTGCACATGGCTGAGCCACTCAGAGACAGTCAGACTTGTCCTGAAGCCACGCCAGTGTTGTTTTGGCTGTATACTTCATATCATTGTCATACTGAAAGGTGAACTGTCGCCCCAGTCTCCGGTCATTGCACTCTGGAGCAGGTTATGTTCAAGGGCCTTTCTGCATTGGGCTGCATTCATTTGTCCCTCAGCTCCGACCAGTCCCTGTCCCTGCCAACACCATGCTTTGTGAGGTGAAAGATAATCCTACAGATGCGCTGGGACACATCACTGGTGATGTTACCTGGGTTTATTAGGTGTTTCAGGTTTCACATCATCATACACCCTTGCCCAGGTGACACAGCCAGGGGTGATCAAGCACCAACTTGCATCCCAGCAGAATTACACTACAGATCACCCCTGTTTATCCATAACCACCTGGAGGCTTTCTCTGCTGCCTTCATTGCAGTCCTTTGTTCTCCTTAGCAGCCCTGTCATGCCCAGCAGGGTGTACACCTTGTGAAGAGAGTGCCCTGCAAAAGCTCTGCAGCCTGCTTCCATCGCATGGCAGTATGCTGGCCACCCCTGTTTTTGGCAACCCCTGGTACTTGGCAAGCTTTCTTTCCAAGGCCTCCTCAATATGGCCTTCCCGGCGCATTGTCAATCTGTCTAGAGGCCTCTGACAGGATGACAATGTCTGGTCACAGTGATGTATTATCAATGCATGCTGGGAATCTGAGTTGCTTGCCCTGGTCAGTCATTAGCTGCCAGCCGTGTGTGGTGGAGTGTAAATGCCACAGCTCTAGGTTGTTGTTTTGGTCGCTCACCTGCCTTAATGAATGTTATCTGGTTACTGGGGGGCCAGTGAGACCTGTTGTTTCTTATGGCTGAGAAGACACTCCTAGCAACAGCCTTTAGGAGCTAGTCATGCTACCACTGGTAAGGACCATCTCCTAGGGTCTTTGTGCAGCTGCTCAGGATATGCTCAGTGTCCCTCTCCCTGAGCAAGGAGGGCAAGATGGTGTCAGACCTCGGACTGTACCCAACGAAGAATCAAACAATTTGATCAGCTGTTCAGTGCGATTATTCGACTGTGGGTTCGCTCGCTCTTTTGCTCTCTCGCTCTCCCTCTCTCCCTCTCCCTCTCTCTCGCTCTCTCTAGCCTAGACTGTCAGAAAATCTGCTGGCTTGAATTTCACTGAAGATTTAGGCCACATTAATTTAAGTAATCAAATACAAAACAGTGGTAGGAATATATTTCTGAGCATTTAAGAATCAAAAGAGCTGTACATGATGCAAGATTTAAATCACAACCTTTTGGAATTGATGGTATACAGTGGGGCAAAAATTTAGTCAGCCACCAATTGTGCAAGTTCTCCCACTTAAAAAGATGAGGGAGGCCTGTAATTTTCATCATAGGTATACTTCAACTATGAGACACAGAATGAGAAAAACAAATCCAGAAAATCACATTGTCTGATTTTTAAAGAATTTATTTGCAAATTATGGTGGAAAATATGTATTTGGTCACCTACAAACAAGCAAGATTTCTGGCTCTCACAGACCTGTAACTTCTTCTTTAACCTCTAGAGTCCTGAGCTTTGGAAACCCAAGCTGTGCGGTCCTCATATGAGGACGCAGGGACTCTAGAGGTTATGAGACTCCTCTGTCCTCCACTCGTTACCTGTATTAATGGCACCTGTTTGAACTTGTTATCAGTATAAAAGACACCTGTCCACAACCTCAAACAGTCACACTCCAAACTCCACTATGGCCAAGACCAAAGAGCTGTCAAAGGACACCAGAAACAAAATTGTAGACCTGCACCAGGCTGGGAAGACTGAATCTGCAATAGGCAAGCAGCTTGGTTTGAGGAAATCAACTGAGGGAACAATTATTAGAAAATGGAAGACATACAAGACCACTGATGATCTCCCTCGATCTGGGGCTCCACACAAGATTTCACCCCGTTGGGTTAAAATGATCACAAGAACGGTGAGCAAAAATCCCAGAACCACA